TAATCCATTCTTTTGGCCTCACAGTTTATTTTATTATCCTATTTCAATGGGCTTGAGAACAGACAATGGCCTAGGATATAGTCTGTTGGGCATACAAAGAAGACAATGGTTTGTGACGAAAGTCTGTCTAGGCATGTTGACAGACTTCAGTCTTTCTTCCTGATATATGAGTGCAGTTAATGAAAGCTCAGGGACTAGAGGTAATTGTTTTCTTCTTTAATGAGTTTAGACTTTAGGTAAATAAGGGAACTTCAGAAAACAGCTTCATCCTGTGCTTTGGGAGAGACAGAGGATTGAGAGTCAGGAAGTGCGTGGGAAAGGTCAGACGGATGTTGAGGCTTCCTCTTCAGTTCAGCATGTCAAAGCACCATATCTTGGGGTATCAGTTTCTGAGTCCCAACATTACCCAACATAGTGGAAGGTCTTTGACAACAGGGCCCTTGTCTGTGCTGTTTCCTGCTGCATCCTTAGTGCCTAAAACAGCAATTTGCACATGATAAATGCTCAACTATTATTTGTTAAAATAATAAATGTTTTTTATTGGCCATGTTTATTTCTTTTGTAAACTACTTATTCAAATCCATTGCACATTTGCCTATTGGTATGCTCATTTTTTTCTTATTAATTTGTAAGAGCTCTTTAAATATAACGGATGTTAACTTTCTCTTTCTTTCACCTATTGTTGATTTCCTAGGATGGCTGTAACAAAGTATCACAAACTGGGTGGCTTAAAACAACAAGAATGTGGCCTCTCCTGGCTCTGGAAGCTAGAATTTCAAAATCAAAGAGTCAGCAGAGCCATGCTTCCTCAGAGACTCTGAGTAGGGTCTTTTCTTGCCTCTTCCTAGCTTTTGGTCATAGTTGTCAATCCCTGGCATTTTTGGTTTGAAGCTGCATTACTACAATCTCTCCCTCTGTCTTTGGATTGGTTTCCTCTTCTTATAAGGACATCAGTCATATTGTGTTAGGACTCAGCTTAGTGATATCACTTTAATTTGAGTATCTTTTCAAAGGCCTTGTTTAGAAACAGGGCCTTATAAACAGAGAGTTTATAAGGCTTAGGACTTCAATACATATTTTGGGGGGATATAATTCAACCCATAGTACATAATAAATATGTTTCTCCAATTTCTTCTCTGTCTTTTAAATTTGTGTGAAATATCAGATTTCCTTTGTTGCAGTGTGTATTAGCAATGGAACTTACATGGGAGTAATAATAGTGAGATAAGATAAAGTCACTTCATGAACATTTATGCATGAGTTTTGTTACTCCTCAAAGTTTATCCCTACAGGGAAAAGTAAGAATAGTACTCACCTCGACCTGAAGCTAGAAGGGGCAAGGAAGTTCTCTTGGCCTATTCATAGTCCAGCTAATGTCATCTGTTTAGGAGACTGTACAGGTCAGAGCTCCTTTTCCACCAGAGTCCTAAACAACAGGAAAGAGTGGCCATGGGTCTCTGGAGTGTCGAGATATTATCTGCAACCCATGAAATAAAGAAAAGAAGAGTCCTCAGTTCTCCAGTAGGTAATGAGGTGCTGAATATTTGCTGCTTTCACATTCAGAAATCTTAGTCTCACGGCCCTTTTATTTTTTCAGGCTAGATCTCTTGAATTAAATATAGCATCTTCCAAATCATCCAAACTCTTACAGTGACACCCTTAAAATTTCATTAGATTCATTCCACATTTTGGAAATCTTAGCATCAAAATTATAATGGTCATAGCTTCGAGGAAAGCTGGAGTAAGCATAATTTTCTATATTCCTAATACCTACTTTCAGTTTGTAATAGGTGCTTAAATTTAGAGAGAAAGAGAGAATCACAATAAAAGAGCATCAATAAAGCATCAGGGAGGCACATAGAGAATCTATTCTAGGCAGGAACAGAGATACCCATACCCACAGAGCCCACTAGGGCTCAGACTACCTTCTCCCAAGCCTAGCAGAGAGATAATGAGAGGAAAATAGGACAATAATCACAGTCCAACCAGGTGAATTTCAGTTAAGTACATGTGAGCCATGTCATGGCAATACACATAAAGATTTCAGCAAAAACGAGCTTCCTCTGATGGGAAACTAATACAATAGAGGGATCTTCACTAGTTGGGGTAAAATCATGAAACAGTTTTATTTTCCCAATAGCTTTATCAACAGTGTTATTTCTATCACCCCTCTCTCCCACTTCACACAGTGTAATGGGCTTCTTTAACTACATTTCTCTCCTGTTCTCCAACTTTTCAGTCACTATTGCTTATTAAAATAGTTTCAACCAGACTAAATATTTGGTTCTATTCATTTTCAAATGCCAATCTCACTTTTCATACTGAGTCCTCCTGGTTCCTCCAGGGCAGATTAGAATTAAGGTCCCTGGGCTTGAAACATGTGTGGGATGTGTGTACAGATAAGAACCATCTAATCAGTTCACCTTCTCTCTGTCCTTTGAAAAAAAATGAATTTCAAACACGGAATCTAGTGTCCTGCTAACTTGGCCTTCAAAAAATTGGTGTTTTATTTTCAACAGTGTGCTATCTATCTCCAACTCCGAAGAAAACTCCAAAGTCAAGAAAACATCTGAATCAACTCCCACTCACAACATTTTAGTAAAGATAACAGCACTTCTAGGACAATTTTCACCTATCTTTAAAACATTACTTTATTACAACCAATCTCCTATATACGATAATATCCAATCTGGATGTTACAAACCAATGTCTGTTTCATCCAAGGAAATTTGGTGGTTTTGAACAAAAGATTTATCCAAGGTGGGTCAAAAGGAAAACAGCAAAGCATTTAGCCACCAAAAGAAATAAAAATCCACTTGCTAAATTTCATATCCAATAGTCATATCACAGTGGCTTTTCAACTTTCAGGAGATTTTTCCTAGGTAATTCCTAATTTTCATAAAAGCTTTACTGTATTGCTTTAAATACAGTCCCCAGAATGAAAAAACAATCAACTCACCTCAGTACTACATATTCATTCAACAAATATTCAGTGATCACCTACTTGGTGCAAGGAACACTATTAGTCACTGAGTATGCCAAATAGAACACAGGAAGCATATTTTGGGCCCTCATGGATTTTAAGAACTAGTGAGTCTAGCTAAGGAAAGAATCATACTCTGCTACTCTTCAAATCATGTTAGAAACAACCTAATAACAATAAAAATAATGTCAACAAAAATTTATGATTTACTAGGTATGTAGTAAATTCTTGTTATGTGTAATTCTAACAATTCTTGTTTCACAGAGGAAGCACATAGACCTTGATAAGTAATTGATCCAAAGTCGCACATCAAGTAAACAGCTGACTGAATTTGAAGCCAGACTTGTCTGATACTAGAGTTCATGCTTTGAAACTGCATCATCCCAGCTGGTATCATTCATATAGCAATCTGTATAAACAGTTTTTAAATGTGAGACAAAACCCATATATATATATATATATACCTCTTGAATAATATGTATGTAATTTTATATGGAACATAGATCTCCAAAACCTCAAACTACCTATGCACTGGGCATATACTCTTCCTTTATTCACTGTGTCATCTGGTTTAGCAGGGCAGAAAATTACATAGGAGTTTGGGGCATTTGCCTGACCTTTCTTATCTCAGTGCTGCATTTAATGCTTTTGGTTCCTTATTATAACCAATAGATACCAAATATTTTTATAGCAATTCCACTTTCCTGAAGACATCTCATTTTCTAGCTGGGATAATTTTTTTTAATGATTTCAAGTTAGAGAAAGGAACATTTGCACTCAGGATGAGGTTCAGTCTCAACTTGTCAAGTTGTTTCACACACTCCCTGCTTATTTCTAATATATTTTGAAACATTAACAGAAAAGAGTAGATGGCTTCGAAACTAATTTCTGAATAATATGCACTTAACTTCTGATTTCATTCTAAGAACATATTTGTAGGGATGGTTTGAAAGGTTTAGAAAGGAAAGCAGGGAATAAAAGACCCCCTTTCTCTGATGACTGTGGTATCAAAAACATCAAAGTTACATAAAATGGTGAAGATCTGAGGACTGGACATCTCCCTGAAAATTTACTTCACAGATCATTTTGAAAACACCAACTGTGTTCAGAAAGAGTGCCTACTTTTTGTGAAGATAAAATTTTAAATGAGCTAGTATGTATCAAAAGTAATGGTTTGATGTGTGCGGAGCTCAGAGAAAATATTTTGTGTGGTGCAGGTCAATATAAACAGTGAAAGATTTCATTCTGTAGGATAAAGCATTTCCCTTTCTCTTTCTTTCTTTCTTTTCTTTTCTTTTCTTTTTTTTTTTTTTTTTTTTGACAGGGTCTCGCTCTGTCACCCAAGCTGGAGTGCAGTGGTGCAATCCCAGCTCACTGCAACCTCTGCCTCCAGGGTTCAAGTGATTCTCCTGCCTCAGCCTCCTGAGCAGCTGGGATTACAGGCGCGCACCACCACACCCGGCTAATTTTTGTATTTTTAGTAGAGACGGGGTCTCACCATGTTGGCCAGGCTGGTCTCGAACTCCTGGCCTCAACTGATCCGCCCACCTCGGCCTACCAAAGTGCTGGGATTGCAAGTGCGCCATGGCGACCGGCCAGTATTTCTTTCAAAATTGAAAAGTTGGAATTTATAATTGTCTGAAGCACGCAGATATTTAAAGAAAAGGAAATAAAAAGAAATAGATACAGCCCACTCCACTTCCTTGCCCCTGTTTCAGACAAGTGCCCTCCTGCCTCCCCACCTTAGCCTTCACTCTAAATTTTCTAGAAGGGTAGGACTTCAGGGGCTACATGGGCATTGGTGACTGCACATGCAAGGGGTAGGGGTGGGAATGCAGCGCAAAGCATGTTGCTAGGTAGAAAAGAAGAGAAAGCAAAAAAGGCCAAAGCCAAGGCCTGGAGTGAGAGGAGGCGGTGGTGGAAGATAATGCAGACCCTCCCTGGTAACCAGAGGAGAGCAAACTCCAACCGCAGAGCAGTGATGCCACTTGTGGGCCTTCAGATTGGAGAGGACAGAGAAGAGTGACAGGGCCGTGCGCTCTGGGGCACCTCACGCAGACGGGAGTAGGGAGGCTGCTTTTTGCGCGTGCATGTGGCGGTGGGGGTGGGCGGAAGGGGGGAGATCCTGCTGCACTGGCCGCCCAAGTTGAGGGGCGAGCTCAGCGGTGACGCGCGGCCCTCACGTGACCCAGAGCTGCAGAGCTACGCAGCCTTCGGTGCAGTCGTCACTCGCGTCTGGCTACAAGCTCCCCGCTGCCCTGCGCTCGGCGGGCTGGCATCCGGCCCGGGGAAAAGCGGAGCAGGTAAGATCCCCGGGGCCCGTGCGCCCTGGCCTGGCCGGCAGCGGCTCACGGACCCCCGGGACGGGCGCACAACAGCGCAGGAGGTCCCCGCCAGTTTTCTCCACACCCCAACATTCTTGGGAACATAGAGGCCCCCTGGGGTGGGCAAGCAGGGGCGGCTGGGGTGCCAGGGGCAGCAGAGCAACCAAGATCGATGGAAAACCACCCCCGAGTCCCTGCAGGAAAACGTTGAACACCGCGGGGGGGTGGGGCGGCTGAGGGTGGGGGCGCGGATTGCGAGACTCGGGGCGCTGGCAGCGAGGAGAGCCCGGGCCCGGGGCGGGGAAGGCGCTGGGTGGTGGATGATCCTCGCTAGCGTTCCGCTGCAGGAGCCCCCTCTTCCCCCACCCCTGCCCATCTGCAGGTCTGCGAGGCTAAGTGTCCCGGCGGCGCACCTAGAGGCGAGAATCCAGAGGAGGAGGAGATCGCAAGGATAGGCCCAGGTCGGTGCGAGGAACGGTGGTGGTGCGGGGGTCTGAACGCGAGGAAAGCCCAGTCTGGGACCCCAACCCTCTCCACCCCATCCCCCACTCCTACACCCGTCCTCCATTTTGCTGCCTGCGAAGCTCTGAGAAAGAATCTTGGGAAAGGAAAAATGGTGGGTTTGGGGGAAGGGAGGTAAGGGGAGAAAGCTGGAGGGAGGGGCTCTAATTGGAGGCCCCCTAGAGGACGCACGGAACTTGTAAGGCGGGAAAAAATGAAATTAAATCCTTTGATATCAGGGCTCTGAATCCTGCTGGTCAGTGCACCAAGCATTCAGTTTCTCTCCTTGCCTTTGTCTTACTTGTGTTCAAAGAAAAACAACCAGAAAAAAAAATCTCATCATGGCAAATATTCACCAGGAAAACGAAGAGATGGAGCAGCCCATGCAGAATGGAGAGGAAGACCGCCCTTTGGGAGGAGGTGAAGGCCACCAGCCTGCAGGAAATCGACGGGCACAGGCTCGCCGACTTGCCCCTAATTTTCGATGGGCCATACCCAATAGGCAGGTCAATGATGGGATGGGTGGAGATGGAGATGATATGGAAATATTCATGGAGGAGATGAGAGAAATCAGGAGAAAACTTAGGGAGCTGCAGTTGAGGAATTGTCTGCGTATCCTTATGGGGGAGCTCTCTAATCACCATGACCATCATGATGAATTTTGCCTTATGCCTTGATTCCTGCCATTTATCATGAGATTAATACTGTGATTCTCGCTGTTTTCCTTTTCCTTGCATTTTCCTAATATGCCTTTACTGATCCGTTTGCTGTGAACCCTATGTTATTTCCATGTGTCAAGTGGGTCTTGTGTTGCCAGCTTCTAATTGGAGATTGCCTTTGCACTCAGTCTAAGTTTCTGTCAGCAGTAGAGTTTCACCCATGTGCATGGAAAAATTTAAAGTTAATAAAGCAATTTAAAAAGCAGTCTATACATTTAGTATTGTCTCATTAAAAATGTATCCTTATATATAACAGATGAACTAAAAAAAGAAATCTGAGATTAAATGCACGAGAGTGTTAATTGGGGCACATTTCTCTATGGTAACTGTAATCCCAGCAATTTGGGAGGCCGAGACCAGCAGATCACTGCGTCAGCAGATCAAGACAATCCTGGTTAACACAGTGAAACCCCATGTCTACTAAAAAAAAAAAAAAAAAAAAAAAAAATTAGTTGGGCGTTGTGGCACACGTTTTTAGTCCCATCTACTTCAGAGGCTGAGGCAGGAGAAATGCTTGAACTCAGGAGGCGGAGGTTGCAGTGAGCCTGAGCTGAGACTGTGCAACTGCACCCCAGCCTGGGCGACAGAGCAAGACTCTGTCTCAAAAAAGTGACACTTTTTTTTTCTTTTTTTATCTGGAGTTTGAGAAGCAATGGAAATTATTTTAAAATGAGATTATGAATGTAGTCCAGATACATAACAATACTGCCTCAACAAATCTGAAGAATAAACTTTAATTATCCTTCAGTCTTAACTGGAATAATAAACCTTCCCTTTATTACAGATACATTCCTTTATAGAGCCTGTTTTCTGCTTTGTGAAATGGGGAACAACACTTACTTGTCTTACACGGCTGCTGAGTGGAACTGATGAAATGTGGAACTATGTTGGGCTGGCTTCTGTCCCCAACTCCCCAACATTTAATAGGACCGGGACCCCCACCAGGTACTTAGGGAGGATTGGAGGAATTATCACTCATGCTTACAAGTCCAGACAGTGACAATATGTGGGATTCCCCAAGTCACTTTTGTTATTTGCAATCCTCCTGCTCCGCTGATTACTGTCTTCTTAGTTAGCCACTTTCCCTTCTGCTGGATCCTGTTTCTGTTCTTGTTGATGAGGTGCTAGGGTCTTCAAGGTAACAAAACCCCACTGATTTATCTGGAGTCCCTGGTGAGCCAAATCCCCCCTTTGACCTCTATAGAATTGTGGAGAATGTCTCTATAACTTGAGAGTTATATTTATCTCGGTGAGTATAACCAGGATAAATCTTGTGTTTCCTGGGATCACATTGGTTCTTAGCAAAATAATCCTTTATGGTTTTCTTTCATGACTCCTTCAAATAACTCAGACACGAGTGCACTGGGGCCTAGCTCATGAAATATATCTAAGTGTGCCCAGATTTGTGTTACTGCAAACCTCCACTATACAAACAGACTGAAGGCTTTATTTGTGCCTGTGTTTCTGTGCTTGATATGGATTTTCTCAAAGGAGACTCTTGGCAGGCCTACCCACCCAGTTTAACAGACTTACCCAGACATGTAAATTACATTGGAGGAACATATTTTCTTTAAAGCAGAAACACATTCCCTTCTTGTCCATACCTGAAACATGAAACTACTTTATAAATTCTTAAAAACCATATGAAGTATTTGGCATTGTTATTTCTTTGTGAGTGTGTGCCCTTTTCTCCAGACAACCATTTTGTCTTAATCATCCTGGAACTCAGTTTCTGGTATAGTTCATGACATAGTAGATTTTAAATTATTTATTATTTTGATTGATTAACTATGATAGCGTTAGAAATCCAGCTCAAAATTGTCCCTGACTCACTGTCCTTAACTGAGTGTCCAAAGGCAAGTAACTAGTTATGTGGAAAGTATTACATTGTTTCCAAAGTAACATAGCAAGGAAAGTTTCCAACTCAAATTCTATAAACTTTTTTTTTTAAACCTTGTATATGTTAGTGTTTAGGGAAACGTAGACCCCTTATTTGCATCATAATCACTTAGGGAAAGTGTTAAAAATGCTGAACGTTGGCTGCTCTTCCCACCCCCAACCATTCACTGTCACCACCTGAATCACCAGAAACAGGAATTACTGTTTTGACAGTTTCCCAAGTGATTCTCACACATCTGAGTTTTGACAACATAGGCATAGAGAAACACTGACAGTAATTACACCATTTTACAAATATCATGATCCAAATTACCTTACTTACTTGATTCAACAATGAATATATGTTTTCAAACTACAGCATTCCAAAATTAGACTACATTAGACCATCAATGTATGTTTATATTTAAACCACCACTGTTTTATCTTCTTTTCAAATATTCTATTAAACTAATGCCTTATCATGAATTTATTATTAATAATAAATGTATAATTATGAAATTATTAAATGCATTATGCATTATCATTTCTATGCCAACCTGTGCCCTTTCACAACAGTGATTTTGTCTTAATCTCCCTAGAGCTAAATTTCTAGCATAGTGCCTAATATAGTAGATGTTTCATAACATAATAATTCATTTAATTACTTCATTTACTAATTATTAAATTATTTCAGAATTGTAGTTTAAACCAATATATAACAACATTTTTGAGTCTGTAGAGTTTCTTTAATACTTTCATATTTCAAAAGTTGCTACAAAGAACATTTTTAAATGTAGTACTTCTTTTTTTTTTTTGAGATAGAATCTCGCTGTCACCAGGCTGGAGTGCAGCGGTTTGATCTTAGCACGTCACCACACCCAGCTAATTTTTGTATTTTTACTAGAGACAGGGTTTCACCATGTTGGCCAGGATGGTCTCGATATCTTGACCTCGCGATCTTCCCACCTCGGCCTCCCAAAGTCCTGGGATTACAGGCGTGAGCCACCGCGCCCAGCCTAAACATAATACTTTGTATAATTACTTATATAATGTCATCATGCATATTCGGATCATGAATATAGGGAGAATATAAACAAAACCATAATCCAGTCATCCAAAGACACCACTTGTGAGTTTTTTATCTTCATGTTATATTTTCTCATGAAGAAGCCAGGCTTAGAGCCTCTTATGAGAAACACTGCCTCTTTCAAAGTCCCTGCCGAATAAATATGTTTCGCTTGCCATGTTTGTTACTATTTTTCTAATCTCTCCTCTCCACTCATCAAAGCTGATTGACTCACATTTGATCAGATTTCAGTTAGTTCCTGATTTTCAAAACTCAAGCTATCACCTTTCAGAAGTCCATTCTCAGTGATCTAATGTAGTCTAATTTTGAAATGCATTTTGGCAAATTTAGAAATATAAAGTAAACACATTTATTTAATAGAATAGGACAGAATTATTTCTTTATAAAACCTAAAAATTATCTTAGAAAAAGTTTTGAATTTCATAAATGAAATAGGCAAAATTCCACCTCTACTCTGTCTCCTTTCCTGACATGACATGTATTATGCAGTAAATAAACTGATTTTGCTTAGAAAGGTTCAGTTTTTAAATTTTAAAAAAGATAGCATGTTATTTAGTCAATATTTCATTTGTAACCAGCTGGAATGATTTTTAAGTGATATTACTATACATAACCCAATAAAGAAGTCATCCCTATAAATTTGAAAATCTAATTTTTAAAATATTTTTGCCAAACATTTGAAAAGTCATAATCAGCATATTTAGAAATTTACTCTGGGGCCGGGCACAGGTGCTCACGCCTGTAATCCCAGCACTTTGGGAGGCCAAGGCGGGTGGATCATGAGGTTAAGAGATCGAGACCATCCTGGTCAACATGGTGAAACCCCATCTCCACAAAAAAAAAAAAAAAAAAAAAAAAAAATTAGCTGGGCATGGTGACGCGTGCCTGTAATCCCAGCTACTCAGGAGGCTGAGGCAGGAGAATTGCCTGAACCCAGGAGGCGGAGGTTGCGGTGAGCCGAGATCACGCCATTGCACCCCAGCTGGGTAACAAGAGTGAAACTCTGTCTCAAAAAAAAAAAAAAAGAAATTTACTCTGATGGAAAATATTTTCTATTTAATAAAAACAAATTTTTCTGACTTTCATATGAAGACAGAAATCTCCAGATATATGCCCATTTGAAAAAATCATTTTCACACAAATGAACTTTGTGTTTCTGACTGTAAAGTAACACATTCTAAAGTGGTTTTTGTTGTTATTTTGAGCAGAAGAAAAACCGTATTAAGAAAGCTTTAAAATCTTATCTTCAACACCTTATTTTATTTCCTAAGATCACATGAGTATTAATTTAAGTTTTCTATTTTTTCTTAAATTAATAAATGTTACTTAGTTTGTAATTAAAGTTTGATTTTTAAAAGAGAAAGCAAACTAATGTGTCAGCCGTTAAAAGAGTGAAAAATTTGTTGAAAAGAATAATGAATTTCAAACAAGTTACGGATCCTTTAGCTGATTAATTTAGTAGTTACTACCATGGTAACGCCATAGTGTTTACTATACTCAGTAAAAGGAGATGATCATTTACAGGGCTGCTGTGGGACCCAAAGGAGGTAAAGAGCATGTGAATGAATGGCGTTGGATGACTTCATTTTCACCCGCACATTCAGAATCCTAGTACCTCAGATCCCCTTCAGCTGCTGGGAGTAGTAGCCAAACTGTGTCACAGTCCCACTCCATCCCTCTGCTATGACGACTCACCCCCTTCTCCCAGTTTTGCACTGTCCACTGGCCATGATCAGTACAGATTTCTCTAGACACCTCAATGTGCTAACGTCCCAGTTGATCTCCTACAGAGATGTGCATAAAGACCTACTTGAATTACAGTTGTACTAGATTAGGTGAGTACTGTCTTAGTGCTGCTTGGCCCATGGTATGTTTTATATTTTTAGCAGAAGAGGCTTTTTCTCAGCTTGTATTTGTGGTTATAGGATATTGGGGCTGAGTCTTGCTTTTTTTTATACAATCTGACAATCTTTGCCATGTAATTAGAGGGCTAAGACAATTTCCATTTCAAGTGACTGTCAATATGGTTTCCACACAACCACAATTAATGTTCTTTTAACTTTTCGTCTGTTCTCTATTTCATTTCAAATGGTTTATTTTGCTACGTCTTCAGGTATACTACTCTTTTCTTCTGCAATGTGTAATCTGCCATTAACCTCATCTAATATATTTTTTTAATTTCAGACATTGCAGTTTTTATCTCTAGATGTTTAAATTGAGGCTTTTTAAAAATATTCTGTGTCTC